GATTTCATTATATTTAGATAAAACGGACACGTGTGTGTGTATGTGTGTGTGTAAATGCATATACTGTTTACACACATACTGCGTTTATGAATGCGTATCAAGTCGTGTACCTTATCTGTGTATATGTACTCTTATTAATCGGATTTATGCTGCCCTCTTTGAAAGCGCCACAGAATTCAAAAGTCGCCATCTTAATTTTTTACAATAAAATTGGCAAGTGAGAACTAACACATTGTTACGTTATCGTATGTTTATGGTGCGGTATATGTGTCGCTACGAGAAACTACACGTGCCAGGGGAATAATTTGTGTAAAATTTTTTAAATTATCGCTCGGAAAGTTCATAGCGATGATATAAAAAAAAAATTATGATACGATTTACTAACTTACACGGTATCCCCTTGTATAAAAAGTTCCTGTCGTTCCTTTAACAGATTATCTGTTATCCAGAAAAGTAGCTTTTGTATGGTCCCTGTAAAGTTCACGTGACAAATTATATTTACATCGATAAAAAAAAATTTGTAAAACTTACATTCATTTACTCCAGGTAAGTTTACTTCGTGCCTTTTTTTTTTATCGAAAAGTAATTCTGCCCCACCTCTGAAATTATTTAGCGAATAATTTGATAGGTATTATAGTTTGAGGAAAAGTTAGGTTAGTTAATTTATTCGATGTTACCCGAATTCAATGGTCACGGAAATTTCGCTATTTTCGATGGACATATTTTTTTAATTTTTCTTAAATTGCACCGCGTTAAAACATTATTGGTTACGTTTGATTCTGAAAAAAAAATATATTCCTAAATAAAACCACGTTTTACGAAATGCAACGAATATCGATCGATACGATCAACTCGTTTTGAAACGTGAATATAATGAAAATGTAAAAATATTTTTATAGAAAATTATTAATTATTAATCGAATATTTTATAATCTACTTTAAACATCTTTTTATATTAAAAGTTCAATTTAAATTTATAAGCGAATAGCATGAATAGATTATATTCGCTATTATATTTATATTTAACGAAATATAAATATAGATTTTTTTTTTAAAATTAATTACTAATAATCTTTTCGTAATATGCGAAATTTTTTTTGATAATATGTCATTATTCGTAATCGAGTATAAACGTATAGGTTAACTTTACAAATTTTTAATCGTTCAACAAAAATTTAAATTTTTGTTAAATAATTTTTATATTTTCGTTTTTCGAATCGAATCATAATGAATTAACTGATAATATCATTTGTCGTGATATTTCGTGAAAAGTAGTTTTGTTAGAAATGTACCCAGAAAGATATCGTTCACTGCACATAGAAACAACGTGGCGATTTTACGGTTTAATTCCACGTTCCTTCTATTCAAGTCGATCAGTGGTGTATGCATACCGAACGATGAAACGTTAATTTCTAAAGTCAAGATTTATTTACAAAAGCGTTTTTTTTGTTATGTATCGTGATATGATCTCTCTCTCTCTCTTTCTTTCTCTCTCTCTCTCTCTCTCTTAATTTTTCTAAAAGTACATATGTCGAACGCTTTGTTATTGATCTTAAATTATCGATACGTAAAATGAAAATAATTTATATAATTTTGATTAATAAAAAATATTTGTTATTGATAAATCAATGATAACAACATTAATAATAAATATTAATAGAAATAAAATCTATGTTCAACTTAATAACGTGAAGGAACGGAATATAAAATAAACGTTCCTTGAAATAAAATACAGCCCTGTCTTTTTTTTTGAGGGTCATTAGTCTCGCTATTATGAATTTAATTACGATGTGAAGATAGTATTGTATATGATTAATGATAATAGATAAAAAAAAATTAAGTTTGTTATTTACGAATAGTATTGAAAAAATGTAGATATTGTTGGACGAATATGTAATAAAAAGGAAATAGCGGATAAAAATGTAGGATATACGAATGGACTGAAGTGCAGGTGCCATCGGCAGTAGCTGTAATGGCGGTTGTCGGAAAAGCGATCGTAGGTATTAAATGTCGCAAAAGATAAATTATCGCGGTAAAATAGTATACGTTTATATTATTTTGAACTTTTTATGTTCGTGTAATTCCGCGTAATCATAATACACTTTTTATGTTTAGTATTAACTTCCACAATGTCGGAAGAAAACGAACATACTTCTGAAGAAACTGAGACAGAAATGAATACGGAAAATCACGATAAAGAACAATCGAAAAGTGAAACGTGCATGTTAAACAATGAAACGGAACAACCTATGTTGGAAGACGAAGAAATGCCAACGTATATCAGTGTATCTACTCCATCGAAACGCGAGGATTCGGATATCGATAATGCTAAACAACAAAGCAGAGTTCCACTAGAAGAAGATAATAGTCGAAGTCCTTATCATAGTGATGATCAAGGAGGAGGTAGTATCTATGTATTATCTTCTGGTGAAGAGAGTAATCATCCGTATAATGATGAAGATGAAGATGAATATGCGGATAGCGAAGGTAAGAAAATGATATATAAATATAATTTTACTTGTTAATGAAACGATATTTGATATACTAATTTTTATGATATATATATATA